AAATATTAAAATCCTGAAAATTCTCGAACAACCGTACCTTGTCCCATGATATTGCCATGATCCTACGAGCTAACTCCAGCCTTGTCAGCCTGTGGCGAGTATTAAGTCGAGTAGCCTTCTTCATCGTCTCTCGTGTGATATACTGGTTGAAGCGGATAGAACGTCGAACGGGTATACGGAGACTGATAAACCCATCTGAGCTCGGATCTGACTCACAGACAAAGAAGTATTCGTCACAGGACGGGCTATTCTCCTGTTGTCCCGAGCAGTCAAAATATGTGGACGGCCAGGAATAGGTTGTGAGCGATAGCTGCTAGGGTCTCGAATGAATCTAGCAATGCATGAAAAAGAGCGGCCAGTTCCGTTTCAAAGGTATGTGCACACTCAAAACTTTTCATTTGAAAGGTAACTAAGGAACCTACCGTAACCAAACCATTCTCAAACGACTCCTCGTAGTCGATAACCTATATAGAAATTTAGGAGGCCCTATTGATTACTGATCTCGGTTATATTTTTGTTTTTTGCAAAATGTGCACATTCTTTTGGAACAAAGAAGAGTTTTGTCTTTAATAAAAAATTGTGTTAGCAAATACGATGGTGTCTGATAGAAAGTGATCGTAGGTTATCGCACACAAAGAATTGAATGGTGAAGGTCACAGGTTACAGAAAGCAATGGCATTCCCAAAAAACAAAATGTTAGGTGTGCACATCCTTTTGAAACGCACTGTATAGCGGCAGTACGGTGGGATACAGTACCATTTCGAAGCAATCTTGGGATAGGCACAACAAGTACGGCAATAACAGGATCACAATTGATTGCAAAATAGTAGCTGGGTCAAGGGTAATGAGGTCAAATACATGAGGTCAGTAACAAATACACGAAATATGGCAACGGTAATTAAATGTACGTATATTGAGGTGAAGACAAAAAAGCACGATTAGATACCCTGTATCTACCAGTTGCATCAAAGGGATGTTTCGAAAAACGGCTAATCATCCTAGGTTATGAAGGTTCTTTTACTCGAAAAAAAGCATAGGGCGAACAACATTCGAATCATCTTCCAGTGAAAGAACCTGTCTTCGAGTTAGGGCTTTTGATGCCTTTTGTTCGGGCCTGATGTTGAGGGGTGACCTCTTTGCCTCTCGCGCTTGTAACCAGGCTGTTTCCAGGCCAAGTATCACGTTGGACAACTTTAGCCGGCAGTTTCCTATGTTAACTCACTTGGTGAAGCTCTCGAATAGCTAAAGGCTGCAATGGTCGCTGACCAAAAGAGCTTGAGCTGCTTAGAGTTGCTAGAATGCGGGCCACATGCCAATCCAAGCTTTTTCTCAGGATTTCCTACAGCACAAATGTATAGCGCTTTCAAGTCAATGAGAGGCACTAATATAAATAAGGAAAAGCTAATTGCATGAATATCTTCAGTACTGACGTAGTTGGGGTATCACTATTTCGAAGTATTAGGCCATATTTGTGATGTTGTACAGCAAAGTAGGTTCCTCTATTCGTCTTCAAATACTTTGTAGCAGCCCTTTTGTAAATGAAAACTTTCAGGGCATCGTTGACTGTTTCTTCTACACCGCTAAACTTGGACCGGCTGGATTCTTCAAAGGATTCGTTCCAGCATGGGTCAGGCTTGCGCCACATACAGTCCTCACATTTATATTTTTCGAGCAACTGCGTTTCAATTTCGGTTACTTCAAAGAATAGTTTCGTAGGGCAACCGATTACAGTCGCATTTATACTTACCAGTCGACTACTTTCCAAAGCTTTTGTGCTGTCTAAATCCTTGTTGTGACAAAAACATCCACAATAGAAGTTAAGTGCTAATACAATGCTGTTTTTTTTCAAATATATGTCCATCTTCTCACCTAGTCGTTTTTGAGTTATCTAGTTACTAATTTCTTTGGATCGCTGCCGATTGATAGAGGTATAGTGAATAAAGAGCTCAGTAAGGTTTGATCTATTTGATTGCATTACTTTTTGCTGTAAAATTTCCCTCTACCACGTTATAGTATTTGTTGGTCATTTTCCCTTGAATAACTTTTGTTAGCTTGAATACTACTTTGTTATTAAACGAGAAACTTGTACTGTACGACACTGTTAATTTGGTAACTAATTTAATACCAAAACATAAAGTCCAAATTTTCAAGCGCTGTATGAGCATGATTTCGTGAATGGATGCCCTTATAGTTAGCTCTTTTGAATTTTCCTCATCACTGTGAGAGTATAGGAAGCATCCTTGAGTTATGTTCTCAGCGTGTTGGGTATAGTTCTAACTCTTAAATTCATTTTGGAGCTTCTTTAAATCAAAGAGTTAAATTGGTGTGTGCAGACACAAAAAAATGCTGTCATGAGTAGGTCTGTCCATAACTGTGCTGAGTTAATTGGTAGGATCGACTGCTGAACACTGTTAGAATACACTTAGGTCTAGAGACTAAGCCATCCGTTGGCATATTCTGAACCAGCATGCCAAAAAAATGGAAGTAAAAGAGCATGTTTGCAAAGTGTGGTCCAAATCTATACAGCCGGTGACATATTTCTGAAACGTTAATGTATTCGCGGTTCACATGCTCAAACTCCGGTTGGTTTTGTTAGGGTTACCTTTTCGTCAGTCAAATTTTCCACCTCGCGATTGAGTCGATCTCAATCGCGTGGTGGACAATGTTTCTCAGCGATGAAGAAGAGTGGAAAGGCATATTGATCGCCTTTCTTATGGTAAGAAAAGTTTTGCTTATACAGATCCGCTTCGATCCTCGATAGTTCCGTTTGGAGTTCGTTTTATCCTGTGTAAACCATGAAGACGTACGTATCATGTTATTGATTAGGAGAAGTGGTGGTGCTTCATTGAAAAGCGTAGTTCTGTGCCCTCCTATGAGCGCCTCCGATGAAGGTCAGAGCCACCACCATGAAAAGTCGGGTATGAGGCTCATTTCACTGATACGTTTTTAAATTCAATTTAACCACAAGTAATATAATGGAACTCTCAAATATTTGCCTCGAAAAAATATTAGCAAATCTATGCTAGCCACCATTGGGCTTCACGTTTTCTAGTAGAAGTACCGGTAGTACAGAAATTAGAAATAAGTATCCTACAACGCGCTAATGACTGTATGTTTGTGTGTGTGCATATGTGTGT